ATGAATTCAAAATGCAAATAGCGAGTAAAATAATTGTTAATTTCGTTATCGTACCGAAAAAATATAACTACGTTGCAGTAACAGCTATCAAATACGAAAATTAGAACTATTATAATTTTATCGACTTAGGTAATGGTAACGATATATCAAGTACGCGTTTTTCAGTCTGAGATTTACATTCAATACGATGTAATAGTCAATCCTGGAAGACGATTTTATTTAATGCGAGTTTGTGAAAAATCGTATGTTTGGCTCTCTCGCTGAAAATTCTGCCTTTCTTATTTATCAGTTAGCTTCTCAACACTGACCGCGGCAAATCTAAGGAAAGAATGTGAGGAAACGTTACAGATACGTAGTACGAATGGTTTAAGTAAAAAAATATATTTTTTTATTTAACTGGACGTATATTTATACATCAAAATGTAACATGTGCGATATTACGCACAACATTATTCGTCTTTTGAATCAAATATAATGCAAACAGTATAATAAGTAAAAGTATAGAATAAACAAGTAAGTCAAATAACACTGATTTGCACATCAAATAATAACGGTGCAGTTCACAACGCAGATTATGTCATAGCATCAATAATATTAATAGCAAATGATATTTAATTAAAATCAAAATTAATCAACCATACTGTAATGTAAAAAAGAATCAAGGAACTAATTTTTAATCACTTCCTTTGATATTGATATAAACAAAACTGCATTAATAAGGTATGATCTGACAGTGAAACACAATGATATTATCATTTTATATCATTTTAAATAATTGTATATAATTTTAATTATACAAGGTGATTCCCAAAATTTTCCGAACTTTTTCAATAGGGATAGGTCGGGTGGCGCCATCCGTGTGTTCGATTGCGCGTTTGAAAGGTACATCCCTAGCTGACTTCCAGTAAAAATTTCATGACATTTGGTTCAGTGGAAACGAAGTTATGGCGTCTCAAGTGTCAGTATGTTGTATACATCGGTACGAGAATGAACTTCGAACAAAGAGCCAATATTAAGTTTTGTTTTAAACTTGGTAAAACATTTACCGAAACCCATAATTTGATGAAACAAGTTTATGGTGATAATTGTGTAGCCCGTGCCAGTGTTTATGAGTGGTATACGCGATTCAAGAACGGTCGTGAGGACATAAATGACGACGCACATACAGGTCGCCCAAAATCGACAATTAACGAAAATTCCATCGAAGTTTTTATGATTCCAAGGGTATTGTGCACAAAGAATTCGTTCCAGCAGGCCAAACAGTTAATGCTGTATTTTATGTAAGCGTTTTGAAGCGTTTGATGCACCGCATTCGTCGTATTCGGCCAGAATATCGCGAAGGAGGAAGTTGGCGCTTGTTACACGATAATGCGCCATCTCACCGTTCAACACTTGTCACTGATTTTTTGACTAAAAATCACATTTTAACAATCAACCATTCCCCGTATTCGCCTGATATGGCACCTTGTGACTTCTACCTATTCGGCAAAATGCATTTGTCCATGAAAGGAAAGCGGTATGTGGACGTAGAAGACATCCAAAGGGCTTGTACCACTATTCTGAAGGACGTGCCTTTGAACGACATAAAACACTCATTTGAAATGCTTTTAGATCGTGCCAAACGTTGTATTGAGTCCGACGGGGACTACTTTGAATAAACAATTTGAATTTGAAAAAAAAGTAAACCGTTGTTGTTTTATTTCAAAAGTTCGGAAAATTTTGGGACGCACCTTGTATAAAATTATATATGAAACATTTTTTCAAAAGATACAAGGAGCACAATATGTTCGATGGCGTTTACCAGACAACAAAAAAAGCGATTTAACTTTACCAAAAGACACTATTATCATGTGTTGCATCAACTTATTGGTCAAGTGATGGTTAATAAATGTAAAATCTATTAGAAAAAGCATTACCTTTTTAAAATGTAATCAGTCGATAAATTTTACGTATGTACCTCCCAGTGAGAAATGACAATGAAATTGATATCAAATTAACATCTTTATTGATTCGACGACTTACAAAATATTGATCAATTGGTCAGATTATTTTATAAATGTAAAATTTTTTAGAAAGTATTACGTATTAAAAATTAATAGATTGATTAACCTAATGAGAAATGATAATGGAATCGACAACAATTCGATTCGATGTCGATTACATTATCATTTGTCACTGATCTAATCAATCGATAAATTTATTCGATACATGTATAAAATAATCTAGCCAACTGTTGACCAATACGTTGATGCAACGAACGGTATACTGTTGCAATTTTTCATTGACAATCACATCGAAAATTTCGTATCTCTAGAAATTTTTCCTATATTATTATTTTCTAGCGTTGTAATTAACTGGTGTCCAATAAAATGTGTGAAACTATATTATACACTATATTATAATACCATAACTATATTATACATTATATTATATACTATATTAGAACTATATTATACACTCCATAAATATATTATATACTCCATAATGAAAAGTTTGATATATCAGAGAGTAATATGAAAACGGTTATAATCGCGAGTTAGCTGTTATCAAATGCCAGAAAATCCGTGTCGCGGCTCTCCACCGTTCTAACAAATCATTTAGACACAAGCCCGATAACTATGGTGTGGAATCACTCCATACTCAGAGCACTCCATACTCAAAATTTTACTCAGTACGAAAATTTATCTTAAAGGAATCAAAAAATTGGATTAAAAATCAATTGTGAACTTTCTAACATATTGTGCCCGGTTATCGACCGATATTTGGAATGGCAGTACAACTGTCCGTAAAATAGAGATTTAACTTTCAGGAATCATTTACATTGGTCGTAAGAGGCTAACCACAATAGCAGGAATACGGAATAAGGAATACAAAATACGAAATAATGAGATCAACTTGTCAGAAATCAGAATTTTTATGTACTCGATTTTTGAATGATTAAAATCGTTATTCTTCATTCCGTATGCCATTGTCTGGCACATTAATCATAATCGAGCATTACTGTCTTACAGTTGAATGAGAGAGGAATAATCGAATGAAATTGATCAATTATTACAAATTGACCAAAATGATACTTTACCGACTATTAGATAAATCAACACAATTCGCAAATATAAAAAAAGGGACAAAAATGTAAAATAAAAAGCACAAAATAAATAATAAATAAGTACAAGGTAGTCATTTTGAACTCCCCTTTTGTCAGTCAAATATTCCACACCCACGAGCAAGTTAAATTTTTCGGGCCTGTTCAGACATGAGACAATGATGAGCGTTCGAATGTCTTTGTATAACTTGTCTAATAGCATAGAAGAGAATCACCAAATCGTATGCAATATCTATAAAATTTCCAATTTGATAAGATCCAAGTTGCGTTCATAATGTCGGCCATTCTGCAGGGTTCAATATATCAACTGTTCACCCGCTAGAAACTCTCAATTGGTCTGTTCGTCTTGCTCATACCTTTTTACACTTTTTACACTTAAAATGAGATATATTTGACGTTGAAAAGAGAGAAAGTGGTGATGCTGAATGTAGAAAGAGTAAGCAAGTCGCTATTCGATTATGGCTATTCCATAACCATTTTTTCTGTGTCGTTATCGCAATAAAGGCGCCTCAATCGTCGAACCATACCATATACGGCTGAGTTCAGCAGAACACAACAGTTTTATGATTAAAATTATAAGAAAACAGCACTACATAATTAATATTCAATACATATAAGGAAAGAGCTAAGAGCCTATACAATATATCTATTACCATTCAAGATAGAAATTGTAAACAGAAGTAGAAAAATCGCTGACAAAACTTAATAGCAAAATACAACAAGAATATTTTCTTGAATACTGTAACAGATACATAATATTTGCTCTCAGCTTCTTATATGTATTGAGTTTTATGATTGTTTCCAGAAATAGGATCGTTCTTTTAGATCTAAAAGTATAATCCAATCAGCGCGAAGAAAACTTCGAATAATTGCACAATAAACGTTCTGCTGAACACAGTCATTGAGCGCGTTCAAGTTGACAAATCGGCTAGCTTGCTCGCCGAGTAAATGAACATAATTCTTTATGTTGTTACTTATAGATTTAAACAATCATATACAATCGTTCGGTAATCATGACTAGCCGCTTTGCTGTCTTGAACTCGCTCAATCTTCATTTTCATTTCTTCTTATATTTCCGCGAGCATTCCTGTCGCACAGAGGCGATTCCTCACCAAAGAAATATCGCTTGGTCCTGATTTTCATATCCCCTCTCACCTTACGCGCGTGTAACAGAAATATTAACACAAAACGGAGCCTGACATTTCACATCCCTCGTCCTGCTAAGATTTCGTAGAATCCGAAACGAGACAAAAACACAGCACTGAAGAGACATATTCAAACTAAACATACCAATATTTATATTCCGTGAAAGAATAATACTTCTGTTTTCGATCTTCTGCAGTTTATGCTTCTTCATATCGTTTCTATACCTTCAGAGATTAAGTCCGATTAAGAGCTTTAAAATTCCGTAATACAAAACGCGCAATTATAATGGCGGACCAGCAATTAAAAGACAACAAGATCCGAGTATTCAAGGTCCGAGCTCGTCAATATCTGCGTAAACATTACAAACCATCAAAAGTGGAATATTTCGCAATTTGCAAATATTGTTCGTCAGAAATAAGTTATAATAAATCCTGTCCCTCATTACTTGTGCACTTGACCATATACGGAATTATTAACAGAAGAACAGAAGACAATTCGTAACATTCAATGGGCATGGGATTATTTCACTCTAACATCATCTGGCGATGCACAGTGCAATGTATGTGAAAAAATATATAAATCTCATGATGCCCATAGATTAGAGATTCATCTTAATGCACATAGGAAGACGTAAGTACACAATAAGTATATTTTTAACAACTAAGAGAAATAATATAGGAATTCTTTCACGGAGTTCTCTGCACAATTGACATTATCGTGTTTCTTACTTTTATTGTTACTCCTTATATAGACATAAAATCTTCGATCCAGACGAAGTTATTTACGAAGATACTTATATGTTTGACGCAAGTACCAGTGCAAGCGGCAGTATGATTGTGGAGGATGCGGAATATCAGGAAACTTCAATACCAATAGCTTCTAATTTGACCGATGACACGGATAGAACATGTGTTCCTAACGATTAATTATTCACTTTAAATTAATTTTAATTCATGCTAATAGATCTTTCGAATCAATTTGTATTTTTTTCTCTATTCAAATATAATCTATATGATGTTGTTTATAACACTTATTTATTAAGCGTTTCATTAATATTTATATAATAACCAATTAATGGCAAATTATTTCTCCAATTTTGTTATACTATTTTATATAATATTTTATACGATACTATATGTATAAAAAAATGTTATTATAATTTCCGCAGCCATACTTATTTACAAACATTTTTCATATTCAGTTTATCTGTATTTGCATTAACTGGAAAAAAAGGTACTTCTTCTGTCACTGCTAAATATTCATGTGTGATGAAATTTGTGTTTTCTCATTTAGTGTATATTTATAAATAATATAATTACATGCTGTTTAATTGTCGATTATTACATGCAATGCGTAATGCACTCGCTTTGGTAAATTGCTTTCATTAAGCTTACTTTTATGATTTTATGCTATTAATTTCTGTCTCATTCACTAATAAAACTATCAAATAAATTTAATTAATTTTACTGAAGTGCAGGATATAAATCTTTGAAACATGTCATTGTATTATAAATATTTAAAACAATGTACCACAACTATTATTTTTTTCGGAATAAATTTTAAGATTGAATTCGTTCTTGAAAGCACATTTAATCATAAAATATTTGTGTATGCATAAATATAAACTTCATTTCCTATAATTTAATTTTTGAGGAATTGACATATATATTTATATTTAACTTGTTTTTTTCTTATTTATAATATTTTAGGAAATGAAGTTTATATTTATGCATACACACATATATTATGATTAAATGTGCTTTCAAGAATGAATTCAATCTTAAAATTTATTCCGAAAAAAATAATAGTTGTGGTACATTGTTTTAAATATTTATAATACAATGCAATGTTTGCAAAAGATTTATATCCTGCATTTCAGTAAAATTAATTACATTCATTTTATAGTTTATTAATAGTTTTATTAATGAATGAGACAGAGATTAACATAAAGCTTTTCGAAATATGAAGTTGTTCGAAGACTGTCAAATATATAAGATAAATTCCCCAAAAAATTCTCTTTATGTACCATTGTACCTTTATTTCGCATATAATATCACATTAAATTATATATATCAACAATTATATATCAACATAAGATCATATTAAATTATAAAAATAATAAGACTCAATAAATTATAATAATTAAAAAGGAAAAAGGGTTACGAGCCTAAAAACATTCAATATAAAATGACAAACTGTATAAATAGTTAAAAAATAAAATAAAACATGTCATGAAATTAAAAAGATAAATTATAATTTGACAATCAGAAGGTGAACAAAACAAACATTTCGATCCTTGTTAGATCATTTTCAATGACAAATAAATTAATAATAGAAATGTAACGTAGATAGAACGTAAGAAATTAAATAAAATTCGTATTCGGACGCAATATTAACTATAAAACTCGCTCCAAATTAAGAGGAAATCAAACAAACGATTATAGTTGACACAAATGTGCTCCTCTGAACCGTGCGTGTGTATAAGGACGAATATGTTTCTGTTAACAAGTATAAATTATAATAATAAATTAACGACGGAAATAAATAAAAATAATAAGAAAAGTACAAATCGAGTCGAAAACAATAAAAAGAAATGTACAAAACGAGTCGCAAGTAATAAATTAAAATTAAAAGAAGGAGGCAAAAATTATATTTGATATTATAAGACAAGCACATAAGAAATAATAATAACGATAGGAAAAGAGTAAAATGCTGACTTTCATTGTATATGTATAATGAGTTTAAACTCATTATACATGCGAATTTTATTTAATTTCTTATGTTTTATCTACGTTACATTTCTATTATTAATTTATTTGTCACATTGAAAATGATTCAACAAGGATCGAAACGTTTATTTTGTTCACCTTCTGATTGTCAAATTATAATTTATCTTTTTAATTTCATGACATGTTTTATTTAATTTTTTAACTATTTATACAGTTTTTCATTTTATGTTGATTGTTTTTAGGCTCGTATCCCTTTTTCCTTTTTAATTATTATAATATCCTAACAATAAATTTGGGACAGTTTTATACTTTCATGTATACAAAACCACAAATATAAGTATTTAATTTAACAATTCATAAGTTATTACAGATTTTTGCTATTCTAAGCGTATATTTAGATTGAAGAGATGAGACTTTTTATATAATTATCAAGTAATATAATTATTAAATACTAAATTACATTTTATAACTTTATTGTTTTTATCACAATATATATACAGATCCGCAACGAAGACTTCAGAACCATCAGAATATGTTGCGAATAGTCCTCTTGAAAATATTGAAAATATTATACATAATATAAAACTTCCCGCCGAATTCGAGCCGTTAGACAATCCAGAAGAAGTTGCCGGTAGAGAAGAACTTCCCGATAGAGAAGAAATTCTCATTGGAAAAGTATTTCCCGAAATGGGAGAACTTTCAGAATTACTTGGCCAATCATCACATGACATTCATAATTTGTACTCTCTTGATCCTGAGTGCCAAATTACCTATGATCTCACGAAAAAAGAATAATTGATACTGCGTTATAGTACATACAAATCTATTTCTTAATGAGATCTTAATTTCAAAAAACGAACTCTGAAGGAAATTGCTATTTTACTGATAAAATGTGACGCATTGACTCATTCTTATATACTTCAATTCAATGCCATACGCACATATATATTAGGTGTTGGAATTAATTCGTAGCGTTTTACAAGAGATGGCACAAGCAGTACACTATTTCGTTGTTACCTATAGTTCTGTATACATTGTAAACATCTATCATAGGACGTCATTTGCCGTACATAACCTTTCTTGAAATCATAAATAACAATACTGTATAATTCATTGAATATGTCAAAATTTGTGCCAGATAAAGTGTTTTTGCGGGGAGTTTTGCTTCATTACTTTAATATGAACAAAAGTGCAGCTGAAGCTCATCGTATTTTAGTGGATGTGTATAGTGAACATGCTCTGGCTGAGCAAACGTGTAGGAAGTGGTTTGCACGGTTTTAAGCTGGTGATTTCGACTTGGATGACAAGGAGCGACCTGGTCAGCCGAAAAAATTTGAAGATAACGATTTGCAGGCACGATTTGCTGCTCAATGAAAACTCATGTCAAACACTTAAAGAATTATCTACGTCATTGGAAGTTGACTTCTCAACAATAGGAAAACGTCTTAAAAGTTTGGGCATGATCCAGAAGGAAGGACATTGGGTCCCATATGAATTGAAACCAAGGGATATTGAGAGACGTTTTCTCACGTGCGAACTGCTGCTTCAACGGCAGAAAAGAAAAGGTTTTTTGCATCGGATTGTTACCGGTGACGAAAAGTGGATCCATTATGACAATCCAAAGCGCAGAAAGTCATGGGTTAAGCCCGGCGAACCATCAACATCAGTGGCAAAGCCCAATATCCATGGCTCAAAGCTCCTGCTCTGTATTTGGTGGGATCAGAAGGGTGTCATATACTACGAACTGCTAAAACCGCATGAAACCGTTACTAGAGATCTCTACCGACGGCAACTGATGCGCTTGAGCCGTGCATTGAAGCAAAAACGGTCGGAATACTTCGAAAGACACGATAAAGTCATCTTGCTGCACGACAATGCTCGCCCACACGTTGCAAAACCGGTAAAAACATACCTGGAAACACTTAAATGGGAAGTGCTACCGCACCCGCCGTATTCTCCTGATATTGCACCTAGCGACTACCACTTGTTTCGATCATTAGCTCATAGCTTGTGCGAGCAGAAGTTCACATCTTACGAAGATTGTACAAAATGGTTCGATTCCTGGATTTCATCTAAAGATGAACAGTTCTTCCGACGCGATATTCATTCACTGCCCGAAAGATGGTCAAAAGTAGTAGAAAGTGATGGGAAGTACTTTCATTAATGTATTTTTTAATGCTCATGTGAAATAAATAACATTCTTTCATTAAAAAAACGCTACGAATTAATTCCAACACCTAATACATAAATTTTTGTAAAGCGATATCGTTTTAATTACATGTAAATCTAATTTCAACAATTTTATTCTTCTTATTACTTTATTAGTTTGTAACTTTCAATTTTGGACGTACAAACTCCAAAGCTTTTGTATCAAACAAATATTACGAAAAGTGTAGACGTTACATTAGATTTAAAAAATGTTTAAACAGCATAACAATTTAAAAAATTGTTGTTCGTGACATAAATTTCAAATTGCAGACACATACTAATACATATACTCTAATTTTAGAGGATTCTCAAATGCGATAAAAGTTATTGTATTGTATGATATTCTTCCACGAAAATTATTACGTTCAACCGATAAACAGAAGACCATTTAAGATC